GAAGTCAAAATAGATTCAGCCTCAGAACGGCCAAGGAGTGGAATGGAGTCAGTGGCTCGAGAACCAGGTTTGTTGTGGGGACTGAAGACAATGGCTTCAGTCTTCTCAATATTTAGTTAGCAGTGCTAGGTCAGTGCTGGAAGTTGCAAAGCAGAGTGGCATATCAGGAGGGATCAAAAGAGGTGATGGTGAGGTGGAATCGGTGTTGTCAGCATAGATGTGGAATTTAGTCTGTCTTAAATGATATCACCTATGTGAGAAATAAGAAGAGGCCAACAATGAAGTCTTGAGGGAATCCTGAGAGAATGGCATTGAAACAGGAGGAGAAGCCATTGTAGAAATAATCAAAATCATGAAGACTTTAGATAAAATGACCAGGGAAAGAAATTACTTTAGAGGGGAAAAAACACCAGTTTAGATTAATTCATTCCTTTCATTTACTATCAGTACCCCTATTAAACTGAAGTCCACTAATCATGTCTGTTTGCCATTAAATGGCTGAGAGACAAGCCCACCAGAGACAAACTATTCCCAATCTTATAATGTCTTTTAATCAAATAGAACTTCTTCGTTTGAAATACATGTTAAATCTAAACAAATTTGGGCAGAAATCTTGTGCAAGTCCACTTTCAACTCCAAGTGCAGCAGACAGAATCTGTAGGATTTCTACTGAATGAAAAATTCTGACCTCTGATGATTTAAACAGGTCATTTATATGACTCCAAAAACCATTCAGGAAAACTAAAATTATTGATCTGAAATATCATCTACATTTCTCTCTCCACAGACGCTATCTGATCTGAGTATTTCCAATATTTTGTGCTTTTATCCCAAAATTCATGCTGTTTATGTATGAAAACTTGGTTAATATTACGATATTTTCACAAATTTGTATTAAATAATCTCTTGTTGACTATCATACGTTGGTTGAAGGTAAGAAGGGCCATTCTGCCCATCTTAGCTCACTGAACAAGCAACTTGGAGAATCCCAAAGCATTGATAAATTGTTTAAGTGCTTCCAAAACTTCCATTTAAGTTTCTTCATTTGAAAGTTTACTCTATCAGTTAACCATTCTCTACGAACAGAAGTTTCCGATTTAGTTCAGCATTTGTCTTTTACTAGATGATTTCTGTTGCCTTTTCCTACACAATTTAATTTCCAAATAATACAGAATTTACACGGAATAAACCAGAAATAGTACGGAGTGAGATCAGAGTGGGAGTAAATGAGCTAAAATCTGGAAAACAGCTGGAATAGACAAAATATTTCAGCATTTATTAAAAACATATTAAACACAGGCATTTTGGGCTTTTTTAAGTTGTGCAAAGAGATTTACTTACGATGAACGGCAGAGCACTTCATGCAGACAACAGTAATCACCCAAATAAGGAAGCTAAAACCAATATTCTGATTTTCATACAATCGGTCTGATGATCCATCCACTGAATTTTGTGCTGACATTTGCAGAAAAGAGTGAGTGAAGGGATACAGAATAACAGTGGAGATGATCAGTACGGATGCCAAGGGACCAAGAGGAACAACAGAAGCAAGCAGCATTCTAAGATTAAGTAAATGCAGTTTAAAATGTGGTCAAGTAGGTTTGTTTTATAGATGTTGAGAAAACATTTGATCAAGTTCTCGGGGTTGAACTTGGATTGTGTTTATCAACATTGGAAGAGACTGCAGAGATACATCATTTATATAAAATCTATAAAAGGGGACAAACTGCAACAGTAAGAGTAGCCAAGAGTTACAGCAATGCATAAGTGGAAGAGGAGTTCAACAAGGATAAGTTGATCACCCTAGAGTCCTTGTTAATGTCTTGAAAGAAGTAGTGTTCAAAGCAGCATTTGAAGACACGGAATTCCGTGTTAAGATTAGGAGATAAGATCTGTGGATGACACAAGTGTCACAAACCCAGAAGGAGGGTTACAAGAACTAACAGATTGACTATTAACAGCAGGCGTGAACTTTGGAATGTAAGTGAACATAGCTAAAGTGATGCACGTCACAAAAATCAAAAGAAATATTGAGATTTTCATAGAAGGAAAAGAACTAGAACAGGTACAATAATTTGAGTATTTAGGAAGCATAATATTTGCAAATGGAAGGTGCATAATAGAAATAATTTGATCATTTGGATTTTTAAAAGAAGTAGTTGGGTTTTTGCTTCAGTTCAGAAGTCAGAAAGTCAGTTTGAAAAGTCACCTCAATCCAGGAAGACATGTATACTAAGCGCATGGCTACATATTTCTGCTGTTAATTAATGAAACATTTACACTGCTTAGTTTATGACTCAAATGTGGGCAAAATATTAGCTTGTCACATTGACCTTATTGCACAGAATAGAATGAAAAATGGCAATACAATAGGGGTGGATGAGATACCAGTCAAAGTACATACCTGCTTATGTGAAAATGTGGGAGCCAGCTCCTAAATAAAGCTAATCAATTGTGTTATACCGGGGGAGAAAATCCCAAGAACTTTAATCAATGGTTTGTGATACTGATATCCAAAGCAAAGGGACACATTCAAGATCGCAAAAACAACCAAGGAATTAAACTCCTACCGCATAGCTTCCAGATATGATTGACAGTCACGCACCAAGGACAGAGAAAGACAGAGGAAATCCAGAGATCAGTTCACATTCACCCATGAACAAAGCTCCACAGACTTCATCTTTTTAAGATAATTTCAGTACAAGAAACATCAGTGAGGCCAATGCAAAATAAAGATTGTAGTCACCGGTCTAGAGAAAGCTGATGACCAGGTGCATGGGAACTTTGGAGATGTGTCTGAATCTGCAGAAATCCCGAGACCATTACAGGCCATATACAAGGAGTTTAAAACAACAGTAAAAAAACAGCATGGGTGAATGAGAATTTTGAAGCCTAAGTTGAACTGAACCAAAAATTAGCACAGAGTGTATTCTTCTTCCCAGTTGTCATGAATATACTGGACCATGTGAGATAGAAGTGGAATGGCTAATGATGCTGGCAGGTGATAATGAATTAGGTGATGGAGGTACTATGAACGTTCTCCATTGGAGAACACTGGAAGACAGTGGAAGACGATGAGTAGGCCCAAACTTAATTTATGGGCTGTCAACCATCAGTATGATGGTATAAAAATAAAATGAAGAGTTGGAGAAAATAAGTACATTAGTATCACATCATTTCCTTCCCTTAATAACAGTGGACTATTAATCAATTGCTCAAGGTTAATATTCTGGGGTTATGGTTTCAAGTTCCACCATGGCAGATGGTGAAATTTGAATTCAGTTTAAAGGAAATCTGGATTAAAAAGCTGGTGACCATATAACCACTGTCGATTGTCATAAAAATCCATCGAGTTCATGCGTATCCTTTAGGGATGGAAATTTGCCATCAATACCCAGTCTGGCCAACATGCGATTCCAGATCCACAGTAATGTAGTTGAGTCTCAAAAGCCCTCTGGGCAATTGTGTAACAAATGCTGACCTATCTAGAAACACTACATGCCATAAATGAATAAAACCTGCAATCAGTCCTGGCAAAAGATGAAGTGTGGAGATGGAAATTGAGCAATGGATCAAGCTCTGGTTGGAGTACCTGCAAGAAGTGCAGTGGAGTGTTGTGTGACAGAGAAGTTTTGAAACTGAATTTAAAATCCACAAGGCCATTGTGAGATCAGCCTTGCTATATGGTGCAGATAGTTGAGCAACATCAAAAGGAGTGAAAGACTAATTGGACACTACTGTAACATGGACGCTGAGATGGGTATGTGGAGTAACAGGAAAGGATAAAGGAAATCGAGACAAGCACATCACAAGGTCTGTGAAGTTTGTGGAAGCAATGGAGTAAGTAACCAAGAGAAGACTGAAATGGTACCATCATCTGCAGTGGAGAGTGTAGTAACACAACAAAGATGAGTGATGGATATGGTACTACCAGGAAGAAAATGATAAAGGCCTAAAACCAGATGAAGTGATGCAATGTTCAGAGACTTGAACACTCTGGGACTGGAAGAGAAGTGGGTGAAACACAGGGAAGACTTGTGGAGGGTGATCAAACAATATTGTGGTAACACCAAGTAAAACTGGAGACATAAGAGGAGGAGTGGCATGGTGACTCAGTGGTTAGCAATGCTGCCTCATAGCGCCAGGGACTGGGGTTTGATTCCACCCTCAGGTGACTGTGTGGAGTTTGCACATTCTCCCCATGACTGCGTGGGTTTCCTCCAGGTCCTCCAGTTTCCTCCCACAGTCCAAAGATGTGCCGATTAGGTGGATTGGTCATGCTAAATTGCCCATAGTATCCAGGATGTGCAGGCTAGGTGGATTAGCCATGGGAAATGCAGGGTTACAGGGTTAGGGAAGGGGGTGGAGTGCTCTTCAGAGGGTCAGTGTGGACTTGATGGGCTGAATGACCTGTTTCCACATTGTAGGGATTCTAAGCAAGATGGCAATGACAAACAAGACGACAATGAACTTTTATGGAAGATGATGACATAGGACAATGTTGAAAGATGGAAATGGAAATTGGTGACATGGATCTGACCAGTATCATACCATTTAGGTTTCATCCATATTACAGAACATGCGAGGAAGGTACTTCTTCAGATTTTATTTTGCCATGCCCTGTTTTAGACTTGTGATGCAGGGTACATTACAGAGAAGAATTTAGAAAGAAGAGCTGTATTTAAATTAAACCACATGGTCTCTTATAGAAGACAAATTCCTGGGCAATGTGCAAGATTAGCATTATCTCTCAGCTTCCTTGATAAGTTTAGCTGCTTGAATAGAGTTGAAATATACGATACGCAAGATGGAGTTCTGAAATGCAGGAAAAGGAATAATATACATTTTGTGATGCCACACAGAAACACCAATTCCCAAAGGTCGAAATATAAAAATTAATTTTTGTTACAGTCTCAAGTCTCTGCTAAATGCTGATGGATGAAAGATGGGAGAGTGTAGAAAACTTGAAGACGATTGTTTAGAACAAATTTCATACTTACTATTTGGCAGAATCAGACAACTGATACTCTCTACGTCTGTCGTAGCACTCCTGGATGCCAGGATCACTCCATAATTTCTTTATTGCTTCAACATATTTTTGCTCAAACGTGACTACTTTATCTACCTCCACTTCTCGGACCATATTTGCATTGTCCTATTGAAAAATAATTAAGGTATTTAAAAGTCTTGTCATATTCACGTTCAAAATCATAAACTGAAAAGAAGGAAACTTTTAAATCTTCAAGCATCTTCATGGAAACTTACCTGATACACATAAATTCTATTTGGCTGCTCATTGCTTTTAATGGAACACATCATCAAGTTCAGGAAATGTCAAGCGTTGAGCAGGTGTTTCCTTTAATTAACTATTCCCTCTAATGGATTAGCTTATCAGTGCATAAGTACACATTTATCATGGCAACATTTTAATTCTGGTCACATGAAGGTTTGGCCAAGAGACTTTGTTTTTTTATTCATATCATATGAACGAGTCCAGTCATTTCAAACATAAAACACGGATGATGATGATAAAAGACAACAAAAAAGACAGACAGATAATGAAAAATGGAAATGAAAATGAAAAAGATCTGACCAGCTTTGAAGATTTTCTAGAACAATGCTGAAAATAGGCACCTAAAATTCTGTTTTCAACAATATTCATCATCTATAACTTCACTTTGTAACAGAATAAATTTCACCGCAGTATGTGACACATTCTGTATGAAGATAATAGCAAAAATATCGAGACTTCTTGGAATCATAATGGGGAGACAATGGCATCATGTTCTGGAGGCGTGTCTGAATTCCAGTGCAGCAGATAGCTGAATGCAAATTCAATAAAAATCTAGAATTAAAAGTCTTGTGATGATTTATGATGGTTTCATGCTCATCATTAAAATCCATCATATTCACAAATGCACTCTAGAGAAGGAAATCGTCCATCCTTACTGTTGTGTACTTGTGTAAGTATGGTGGGTTGTCACTTTAAGACATAATAACCCCATCATTGGCCATTTTGGGCAGGGAACAGCTTAGTCTAACCTTTCTGCCTATACAGTAAACATTTCTTTAATAAAGCTCTCACTATTAACACTTCTGCTTCTTAGTATTCTTGGAATGAAACACTTAAATTGTCTGGAAACCCAACCTACAGCAACGTCTTTGACTTTTAACTATCCTCCTAAAGGGGCTAACAAACTATTCAGTTGTATCAACTGTTAAAACATTCAAACTAGGAACAAGACCAGGCAGATCATCTGGAAATGACAATGGCAAACTCAACCTTTTCAACCCTGCAAAATCCTTGTTGCTAAAATCCAAGGCTTGTACCAAAGTTGAGAGAGCTGTCTCAGACTAGTCAAGCAACAGCCTGATGTATTCACAGATCCATTGTTTACAGACAATATCTCAGAAATACAATCACCATCTCTGGATGTGCCCTATCCCACCATGAGGGCAGAACCAGCAGAGCTGCCAGCGCATTGGCACATAGAAGGGTGGGAGTTGCCCTGGTCATTCTCAAAATTGCCAGAGATTCCCATGAAGGAGTTTGGCATCAGGTCAAATATGGGCCAGAAAACCTCCTGCCAATCACCACATTTCCCAATGAATATCCCCTCAGCTGATGAATCAGCATTCCTCAATATTGAGCATCACTGAGAGGAAACATCAACAGTGGCAAGGACACAGAATGTACTCTGGGTGGGACACTTTCATATCCATTACCAAGAATGCCTTGACAGCTATACTACCAACCAAACATGTCAGGTCCTCAAGGACTTTGCTACTAGACTGGAGCAGCAGAATGTTGTGAGAGAACCAAAACGGAAAAAACAGACTTGATTTCATCCTCACCAGTGACTGGAGACCATTCTGTCCCTGATAGTACAGGCAACAGTAACCACCGCACACCCCTTGTGCGGACAATATCCTGTCTTCACACTAAAACTCAATCACGTTGTGTGGCACTATCACAGTGCTAGATGGGATTGACTTTTAATAGATTTAGTAACTCAAGATTGGGCATCTAAGGGGCATTGTGGGCTATTAAACAAACTGTACTCAAATGCAACCTGCAACCTCATGGCCCAGTGTATCCCCCACTCAACCATTATCAAGCCACAGGATCAACCCTGTTCGATGGTGAGTGCAGGAGGACACGCCAGGAGCAATAACCATACCTAAAATTGAGGTATCAACCTGGTGAAGCTACAAAATAGGACTACTTGTGTGCCAAACAGCTCTAGCTGCAAAGCAACAGACATGGCTAAGCAATTCCACAACAAACAGATCCGATCTAAGCACCACAGTCCTGCCACATCCAATCATGAATGGTGATGAACAATTAACTTACTCAAAGAGGCAACTCCACAACTATCCCCATCCTCAATGCTGGTAGAGCCCAGCCATCAATGCAAAAGACTAGGCTGAAGCATCTGAACCAATCTTCAGCCAGAAACCAAGTGAATGATCCATCTTGGTCTCCTGAGGTCCCAGGGCAAAACAAACACCAGTCTGTCTTCGGCCAATTGAATTCAATCCGCATGATATCAAGAAATGACTGAAGGCACTGGATACTGCTAACACTGTGGCCCTCACAACATTCTGGCAATAGAACCGAAGGCATGTGTTCCCGAATTTGATGTACGTCTAGCCAAGATCTTCCAGTACAGATAGAACACTGGCATCTACCTGACATGGAAATTTGTCCATGTATGCTGTGTACTGAAAAAGTAGGGCAAATCCAACCCAGCCAATTCTGTTATCACTTATCAATGAAGTAAAGGAAGGTATCATCAACAGTGCTATCAAGCAGTATCTGCTTAACAACCCTACTCAGTGACACCCAGTTTGGATTCTACCAGAGCCACTCAACTCCTGATCTCATTACAACCTTCTGCTGGTTGGAGTCATACCTGACACAAAAGGGTCATGGATGTGATTGTGGAGTCATCACAGCAACAGAACCTCACTGCAGGAGTTCCACAGAAAAGTGCCCTAAACTTACTCATTTTCAATTACTTCAATGACTTCCCTCCATCATGCAGTCAGAAGCGGGGATGCTCACAAATGATGAAATATTCAGCATCGTTGACCTCTCAGATAGTGAAACATACCTGTGTAACACATGCAGCAAGATCATGTGGGAAGTAACATTTGTGTAACACAAGTTACCAGCCAATGATCATCTCCATCAGCAGCGAATGTAAATATCATCCCTTGATATTCAATGGCATTTCCATTGCTAAATCCCAAGCACTATCATTTGGAGATTACATCTGACCAGAAATTGGACTGGACTAGTCATGTAAATATCATGACAAAATGTTGGTGAAACTCAGGAGGTCTGTCAGCACTTATGGAGACAGAAACAGAATTAATGCAACGAATCTGATATGATTCTTCTTCAGTAGTAACCTGCTAGGTTTCTCAAGGATTTTGAGATTGTGTTTCAGATTTTCAGCATCCACTGTACTTTGTTTTCACATAAATATTGCAGCTATAAAGGCAGGTTGAAGCCTAGAAATCGTGCAAAAAGTAACTCATCTCCTGACTCCCCAGATACAACCCACTTGCCTAGATGAGTGCAGCTCTAACAACACAAGAAACTTGACTCCATCCAGGACAAAACAGCCCACTTGATCATTTTTGGATGTGGTGCCATTCACCTCCTCCATTACCAGAGCTCAGTTGCAGCAATGTGTACCATTTTCAAGCTGGACTGTAGAAACGCACCAGGGCTCTTTTGACAGCACCTTCTAAACACATAACGTCCTCCATCAGGAAGAAAATGAACAGTAGATACATGGAAATACTACCACCTGCAAGTTGCTCTCCAAGCCACTTACCATCCTGACTTGGAAATATACCACTGTTCCTTCAGTGTTGCTGAATGGAAATCCTGGAACTCCCTTCCGAACTGCATTGTGTGTTGACCTGCAGCAAAACGGACTGCATGGATCAAGAAGGCAGCTCACCACAAATTCGCAACGGGCAACAAATGCAGGCCATGTCCCATGAATAATTTTTTTTTTAAAATGTTCACATCCAGTATACTTTTGAGATCTCAACTTTCAAGAACAAACTCACCGCTAATACTGCTGGCTATCTTTGTAATCCACCTATTAGTTAAAGATTCTAAAGTTAAATGATTCTTTATTGAATGCAAAAAAAATTGGTAATGATATTAGTAAATGTCAAGAAAATAAAGAGCATTGAAAAGCAAGTAAGGTTATCAAAATTAGAACAAATAGAACAGTTAGAATGGTCAGTAAAAGTTGATTGACAATGTTTGTCAGTGCAATAAAAGAACTGCAATTACTATGAACCTGTTATGAACTATTAATGTTTAAAGACAGATCTGAACACCCAATGACTAACTGAAAAGAATTATGTTCTGGGATTTCATGTTTTCAAACAAAAACATTTACTTTG